GTGTTAGATCCGGGGAACGAGGTGGCCATGCTATTGGTGCGGCCTGACCAATCCACTGACCTGGGAAACGGTTGTTGAGGTACTCGCGCACTTCTCCGAGGTAATGAGGGGGTGCACCATCTTGCTGGAAGTGAATGCGTCCTTCCTGGTCATCTTCGTCAAGTTGAGGAATGAGGAACTATTGGAGCATGTCCAGATACACAATGCCGGTAATAGTCTTCTCCATGAAAAAGAAGGGGCTGTACACTTTATCTTTGCTGAGGGCCCAAAACATTAACTTTTGGACTGTCATGAACATGTTCCAGGAAGGTACGTGGATTTTCACTACCCCAAATCCTGCAGTTGTGGGCGTTGACCTTACCAGTGACATGGAACGTGCTTTCGTCACTGAAAATTACCGAGTCCAGAAATCCTTCGTCGTCTTCAAACCCGCCGCAACATTTCCGTACTACAGTTTACGTGCGTGAAACTCGATGTGTTTGGCTAAATTTGTGCATTTAAAAATATTGCGCACGTCCTTTAAATAAATTTATATTCTCCTGCGAAGTTGTAAAGCTACTTTTGAAACACGGTGTATACTGCATGAAGCTCAATTACAAACAGGCAGAAGAACAAATTTGTGAATATTGACAGCTGACCACATTTCCTGTTTCCTTTGTGACTGTTTATTATACAGTTCTGTTCTAAAACAAGCATTATAATATTTCTGACAGATACCTCGCAGCCTCGCATTCTCCTTCTCCATCCGTATAAGAGCAGCAGTTGCTGGTTGATAGCTTTTTTCCACAGAGCACGCAGTTCTTCTCTGTCTCGCTTCAGTGGGTGCTGCTTTATACTGATTAACCCCAGGCCCCTCTCTGCTTGAACACAACAAACGGATGAGAGAATCACAACAGATAATCACAGAGCCTCTTAGTCTAATACATTTCCTGGGCGTGATGCTGACAAGAGAGAGAGGAGCTATATGGCGTGCAGTGGGATGGCTTTACTTTACTGTATTATATTTATATTTATTCCATATAACCATTGCATCTTTAGTGAAGGAAATGTCTAATTTCAGGAGACTGAATCATTCTGAGCCTCATACAGTACTCCACTACTAGCAACAACTACTCAAGAAATAAGAGGGTGTAATCATGCTTTGGTCCAAAAGGTTGAAAAATTCCAGTCTTGGACTTACCTTTCCAGAGCCAACAGGCCCTATAACAGCGCAGAACTTGCCTGGCTTCACCTGCAGACTGATGTTGGTTAGGGTATCAACTATGGAATTGGGTGTCCACTTGGCACAACCATTTTTAATAGTGACCCCCAGCTTCTGGTCTTGTGCATGGTTTATAGAAGCCCTCTTGCTATTCCCATGATACACACTCTCCATCTCTTCAAGAAGCAGGAAATTCTGGATTATATTACATCACAAGATATTAATAACAAAGTAAATTCACATTCATATGGTTCAACTGCAAGCTCTTATGCTTTAGTTTGGAATAGTAATTTGGCACAGAAAACAATACATATAAAGAATGTTATTACCTAGATATTTCACATTCTTTTAGATTCATTTATTATTTAATTTTTCAATACTATTAACAAAAATATTTCAACAGACGTGATCTATTTTGTTTTTGTATGATATTCTGGGGGTATAGCTGGACCACCTTGCTTCCAGGTGATGTAAATACGGAGGCCTGGTCTTCCAGGTTGGGGGGGTTGGGCATGGGGCTAACACCCCCACCCTGGTTTGTAGCGTCCATGATGAAGATGATACTCCACATTTTGCTGTATTTATAAGATCTTCAGGTGACCTACAGTTATGTATTTTACTTAAGTAATGGTACAGAGTTAGTAAACATACAACTGTAACTTCTTCATCTGTTATTACTTCTCATTATGTACACATTAATTACAAAATATGTTACAATTTCCTTCTTTAAAAGTGTCATAAAAATATAGAATATACGAATTCTTAAAACTTTATACTAGCCAGACTGTTTTTCATGGCTTTATACTCATAATTTTTATTCACATATTATAGTTTAGTTCTGTTTTCATCATTAAGTACTCTTCCATCCCCAACCTGAAACTCTTTATTACAGTTTTTGCTTAAGATAGTTTGGTCCTGAAGAACATTTGAGGTTAAATTTATGTCTCTCGAAGCATCTGATATACTGATGTTTGAGTGAACTCCAGCATTGAATGATTGGGGTTAGTGCACGTTTGTTTCTATGTCGATTTAGTTGACAGTTTCTGGATTCTTAGAATATAAAAATCACGTAAGTTACTACTATCAATGTGCTGTCTGTTCAGTATGCTTGAGATTTTCCCACAGTTAATTCTGCAAAAATTTTGGAATATTTCAAACAGTCCTCTGAAAGAAGCTGTTCTTCTCTTATTCTACCACAGAATGCCAAAACTAGATAAAAATATCTAAATATGCTTAAAAAAACATGAAGTTTCTGGTGATAGATAATCAAAGGAACAAATTTTAATTTCCAGCTTTGCTTAAAATATCCACTAACTTATGAAACTGTTGTATTTTTTACTGAGAAAGAATCTAACCCCTTTCAGAATTTGCAAATGTTTTATCATAACGCAAACCTATAGACCACGCAACAGTTAATTTCTCTTTCCAGACATGTGTTACAACCCCTTGCAATCTTATTCTCATACATACATACATACACTTCAATCAGATCACCCCTCACCCCGTCAAAATGTAACTCTGTTTTAGTCAGTTCCTGCAGCATTCTCGTCCTCACAGGACAAGAGCAATGTATTCTCATAATATGCAAATTGTCTCATAAATCAGAGGAAGACATTATACTACACCAGGGGTCGTCAACCTGGTCCGTACCGCCCACTAGTGGGCGATTCAAGCTTTCATGGTGGGCAGTGTGGGTTTTTGTCCGTTGTTACAAATTTGGTTCTTCCTTCATATAACGAATACACTGCTAACAACTTCGCGAGTTTGACTTTTTAAAATATGCTTTTGCAATTTACTTTTGAATTCCATCTCTAAAATTTTGAATATAGATAATAATTCACCGGGCACTTCTCGAAGTAAACTCGTGGATGAAGGAGCAACAAATGAGCTCCGTATCAAAGGCATGAGTTTAGTGCGCATAACGGCCATCATTCAGTCTTCGAGCTGTACCTCTTTCATGGTGGTGGGCAGTATGTGCGGCACCGGTGGGCGGTAAGGAAATTTTACCATCAACAAAGATACAAAAGTGGGCTGTAGGTATAAAAAGGTTGACGACCCCTGTACTACACAAATCATGTCCATCACTGCATTTGTAATTGTCATATCACACAAATATCCATTTCAGTCACACACTTTGTAGATCTGTATCCCAAATTGTTTACTGATCCTTTCATATTTATTATCTGAAAATGAGACTTTAATATTTAGCATGAGAATCACCGACATAATTACTCTCATTTTCCAAACTGTGTTACAGTTTTCATCTTGTGTATTATAAGGTTAATATTTGTCACTGAAATGGAGAGATCTCAGAATACAAAAATCTGTCTTGTATATGAGGGTTCAGAAAGATGTTATAGTACGGACTGTATCTTTGCTGATGCTCCATCTGTACAAATATTACATATAAATAACTGTATTTCCTGCATAGTGACATCAGTAAACATTTAAGATTAGGGAGGAAGTGGCGATGAAACAATCCTTCAAAGAAAAGGTTTTATCCAATTTTCACAGAAGAGGCTCTTGCAAACAGGTCATGAGAGTACAATCATTACATTTGTAACAAAGTAAATGTCCATCTCTAATTCTAGAAGAATACTAACATGACGGTATACACATTAATGATAACGTGGAAGAAATTTTATTAACAAAATGTAGATTTATGTAGTTTAAATTCATCAGGCATTAGGTTTGACTGTTTATAAGCTAAGAGTTCCATATAAACATAACACTTGAACAGACTTAAAAAAGAAATTCTATCAACCAACTGACAACACCACAAAAGGAACTCACATATTCATCATGGGACTGGTCTTCTGCTGTCCATTGGGAGGAGTGACGGAATTCAACTGTTGCTGGGAGTTGCTGGCAGAAAGGCTGCCATTTGACTGCTTTTCTTGTAGTTCCCGTTTCATTGTCTCGCCTTCTGCAGCGCCCACTGTAGAAGAACGCGGTCGCAGACCACTGGTACCACTGTCTGTTATGTTGTTCTCAGGTACTTCCAGTGTTGGAGCTGGTGATGAACGGGTAGTTGGGCTAGCGTGCCCTGAAGAGGATGGGGGATCCTGGGAAAACAATATGTTTTCTGTATATGAGTAAAATGCACTATCTTTCAGACAAGATATCTGAACCTTGGGAAGATTATGTAAGAGTGGTCTAAAGAAATGCATAATAAAGAGCTTCAGAACTTAGTACTGTTTGGGTGATTAAATCAAGGAGGATAAAATGGGTCAGACACGTAATGTGCACAAAGGATATGAGAAATTCACATTAGAATTGTGCTCAGAAAACATGAAGGGCATGTAATGGATTCAATGACTCAGGTTAGGCTCCAGTGGTTGGATTTATGAACGTAACAGAGATCCTTTGCACTACGTAAAAGCAGGAAATGTACTGGATAGCTGATTATAAACTTTTGAAAATAATCCTTGCAGGGTGGAGTTTGTTCATGATCTTATCTTGGGAATGTTGTTTCACATATATATGTACATAGAAATGGAAGTAGCTTCTTCACAGCTACACTTGGAATTTGTGGACAATCTTCCTTCAAACTGACACAAAAGTTACCAAGAGGAATGTTTATTAATGTATCTTTCAAAACCACGGCCTGCTGAAGTGTCATATTTCTTATATCTGTTTCTAATAACAAACCTTTCTCTGTGACAGAGAACGTACAAAGGTTTCATAACCACTGAAAACGTTCACTGCAACTTGTAGGTCTCATACACGTTCAATTGTATCTGAAAGAAAATCATCACTTATCCAGCTCTCAAGTTCATTGGAAAAGTCATCCAATGGTTGAAAACAGCCAGAAACATTTTTTTCAACCAGTACACGTCCTCCAAAATTCTATTTTATTTATATATAAATTTGTTCACATGCCAAGATAACTGTGATAGTCACACCTTAAAATTTTGTTCACGTATCTTCGTAAGAACGTCCGCTAGGTACGCTACCCTCTGGAGTCACACAGCATCACACAGACTGTTTGTTGTTGGTCATCCAAATAATGTTACACATATACTGACACTCAGATTTCATGTCACTATGAATGACAGTCATCACCACTCTTCTGCCAGTCCTAACTTTATAAAAACTGGTAAAATGTATTGGGAGATGTGAAGTTCATCTCTAATTTGCACCGTTTTCAATAAAGTACTGCTGCACACATCCTAAATATGCATGCTGAGGGCATTAAAAATGCACACAACAATGACTGATAACCTTGTTTCCCTAAATTGTTACAGTGTGACTTAAAAGTGTAATGACGCAGTGTATCAAGTTAACTATATTGCCATAACAGCAAAGGTATTTGACAACTGAGTCAGTCCACCATTTGACAAAATTCTTTCTTAGAACCCTTGAGATTACTCAATATATTGCCAGTGTTCTGTAAAGTACAGTCTGAGTAACACTAGACTAACCCATTAAAGGCTGCAATACAGAATTACAATTCAGTGATTTGCTAATTCCGTGGTGCAGGAGTTGACAGTTATTCAGCCAATCCCACGTGCGCAGAACTTGTAGGTTCATCAAAAAAAACCACCACTGGACACAATCCATAATTAGTTCAGTACAATTTATATGCTCACATGCTAGTTTCTTAAGATCCATTTCGAAAATACTATTCATGTCTGATTCTACCATGAAGTGTTTGAAACGAAGTCATCTGTTTTACTGTTTAAATCATGATGACCATATTATAATCCTTCATTAATCATACTACTACATTAAATGTACATCTTATGGAGTTCAATGTAATTCTCTTAAATTCTGCATTCATTTCTCTTAGTCACAAATATTCTCTTCAATTCTTTGCTGCTGAACACCCTTAAAGATTTTTTATTCTTTCAAAATGAAAAACCACTTTTCCTGTTCACATAATTATTTTATTTTATTTATTTAGTGTTCTGTGTGACGACAGGTCCATATGAACAGGATCATTCCCTCCTTTTCTCGGACTGGGACCTGTTCATATACGTTCTTGGCAGATGATCCAGAAGTGGTTTGCCATTGCCTTCATCTGTGTGTGAATGGAGTAATTGTTGGGATACCACGGAGAAACCGGGGAAGCCCCGGAGGAAAACTCCGTGTTGCCTAGACCACGGACTTGCCCAACACAAGTTATAAATTCGAGCACCGCCGGGAATCGAACCCGAGACCCCAGGATTACAAGACCAGCGTTAGCAATCAACTAGCTTGATCGTATTTCAGTGGGACCTATTACAGAACTCATTTGATGATAACCACAGCAACATGAATGACCTATATTTGAAAGTGGGCTGATTTCACTGGCTTCTGATAGGACAAAGTGTTTCACTATGCATTTATTGTGCCGTCCGCAGAACGTAAAGTTTTGCAAAAAAAAAACAAAAACATTCCATCTTATTAATATACTGCCTTTAATCCTGATTATACTTCGGCCATTCTTCCAAGTTAATGTTGTAGTTCTGGTCGCGTCTCTGGAGAGGCCATGACATCGATAAAAGAACATCATGCAGGAACGGACGGAACAAAGGAACTGATGTTGTTGACATGGAGGATGTTGGCGCTTTAATCTGCCAGAGCAGTTATCGCTGCCGGAATGGAAATCGTGTGTCAACACACCCTCCACCCTTCAGGCCACATTTTTGGAAGAAAAATAATTTGTTCAAAATATTCTTCCTGTTGAGGTTATCAGATCAGAGCTTCTGGTTCAGAATTACGATGAAATAATCCGTCTAGACGTTGGTGAAATTCCTTCGATGAGGCCTCTACCTGCTCAGAAAGACGAGGAAAAACATCAATTCTTCCAGTGAGATTCGATCAGCAGCCCCAAGGTTCGAGCGATCGAGACCCATGACCTAGACCACGTGGTCATTCTGATCGGATGTTTCAAACATTAATTCTGATATGAATTAGGCGTGACTCAGACTGTTCTCGTTGTCAGCACGTCCAGACGGGTTCTGCTACAGGCGAAACGTCGTCTCCGCTTTGTATCGATTGGATAATAGAATGCTTAGAACATTTTCACTTGTCGACGTTTCTGCGGTCCGTAGAAAGGAACATTGCGGAGAAAAGATTAAGGTTTTTAAGGCGGTGGCACTGTCGATCTAAATGCGGGATGCGACCTTCGTGAGGACACTACAGTTCGTCCCATTTCTTACGAAGAAACTTCGCCTTCCATGGGAAATAGGACAACCGATGACAACACTTGTCAGTTCGGTTCTGTACCGCGTGACTTTGTCTAAAACGGCCGAGAACGCTACAAATACAGGCGGACTGCCTGGGAATTAGATGTCCAGTCGATTGATGTTTGCTCCAGTTTGTGTTAAAATTGAAAGACTAATTAAGGGTCTAAAAATCTGCTCCAGGATAACAGGGTGGTGTTGTCTTATCTTGCAAAGACTCAAAAAGATTGATTTTGTATCAGCTGAATTCCGAGGAAAATAAATTATTCCTTGATTGTAATATGGACATTTCACTTACATTTTTAGCTTTATAAACCACTAATGGAAGGAGAATAAGATTACTGTTCTTTTGTGCTTTCCTGAACTTATCTTCTTTAAATATTTGTGAGTCAGCAAGGGGAACGGGGACTTCAAATAAGTCCTTTGATGTTTCACGACAGACGTAATGTCGTTCAATTTTTCCATATTCCTATTCCGATAAATTTTACAAATGTTTTACAGTTTTTAAACAAAAGTTTTCTGTGGTATAAAATCTCGAAAAGCAGTCTTGTCTGTATGTCTGTTAGCAAATTAGTTTATGATTTAATCCACTGAATTTAAAGATAGTATACATGAAAATCCGAGAATTGTGTCATAAATATGGGTGGGTGGGTGCATTTAAAAATCTATTTTAAAACTGTCTGCTTTCCAAGACAACTAAAGTTAAAAATTACTCAGATCAGAATTATGACTGTTTTAATGATGCAGGGTCTTCAATTCAAGATTTATTTAGCTGCTCAAGACATTTCTGCTTTTATGACACCTAAAAACTCTCACACCAATAAGACCCATTAATCAACAGTTGCGTTTTAATATTACACTCACATTCATATGTGTCTATATACCACCTGATTAATTATCTATCGAAAATATTGTACGTCGTTAATGTTTCGTTTGTGTTTGTTACATATGCACCTCATCTGAGCAGTCTTCAGTGAAATATTTTAATAAAATCGGAGAAATATTTTAGCTGTTATTATTTTAATTTTTAACTTAAATAGTAGCCAAGTAATATTTGGAAATTTCTTATTTTGGAAACGGATTCACCACCTGGAACCAATCTCCTGTGTCAGAGTTATAATAGGTTACAGAGACCAATTTTCTGTTAAGCGATTGGTCGGAAAATATTGCTTTAAAATCTCATTACACTTTGCCTGACACGTGCTTCGAAAGCACAGTGGTTGCTAACTGTGTGAAACAATTGCGAGTCTCTTGGACGTAAAACGTGTGGCAGAGAGTGTAATCATCTAGAAAAATCGTACCGGAGAATTAGTACCGAGAGCTAACGGTAGGTGCGCACTGGTGGTTAAGGAAACAGAAGTGGAGGAAAGTAGGATTTGAGGTTTTCACGGCGGTGAGGAGGATGGAGGCAGCAAGGATCTCTTAACCGTCGGTAAACTTCTACCAGACTCCACGGCCCCACAACCCAGAAGACAGCAATCTTCAGAAAAGGGGAAATAGTTACCTGTGTAGTTTTTGTTGAATAAAGGTCATTTAACTTTGAGGTCTTCGACGTTGCACAAAATAGACATCCTAACCGCGGTCCAATTTACGTTAACATCGATGGGGCTTACTCAGAGACTGTCACTGTCAGAAAACACACTACATTGAACACGATTAAGGCTTGGATTACGTGGGATACGTCATCGGACGTGTTAATAGTAGCACATAGTCGCATATTTTAACTCAACTCAATTGGAAAAACCATTTGATCGATCAATATATGCTGTCAGAAAAAAAGAGGAAGTAATTCCGTTTGAGATACCGAATCGTGAAGGGAATGTTGGATGAATTTCTAAAGAGAGAGAGAGGCTAAAGGTGAATTCTCTCTGTGTTTTCGCGGTCTAGTGAAAGGCCACCAGAATTTTTACGAGTAAGTCAGAAAGACATCGCCAAGATTTGAGTACATCTTTCAGATTATTTATTTTAGCCTTTTGAAAATCAACCAAATTTCCGCTATTGCATGCGACCTGAAGACCTGAAACTAGCTGTCGTGATAAAGTTAATTATAATAATTTATGTTTACCATCATTCCGGTAAAACAAATGTACAAAAGTAACAGTTACAACATTTTATTGAAAACAGATGACATCCACAACTGGAAAAATGGTACATTCACTGAAAGGTGTAAATATGTGTGCGCAGAATGAGAAAGGCTCTAAATGCTCTATTACATGTTTTGTGCGGCTCGCAAGTGGCTCTCTGTATAATACGTCATTTTGAAAATTGCGACTGAACCCGGACAAGGCTGCACGAGTTAGCAGTACAAGAATTGTGATGGAACACTTAAGATCCATAATTTTCTTTCCTGTCTACGTTTTTACAGGGCAACTGGACTCCTCCGTAAAGAAAGTGTTTCTCGCACATTTTGAATAATTAAAACACAGCACGCACACACATTTCATTTCTAATGAAACCATCAGTGTTGTCACTGTAAGGAAGTTAATTTCTATTCATATATAGGTGCGGTTAGAACGCTGGCCTTGTAATCCTGGGGTCTCGGGTTCGATTCCCGGCGGTGCCCGAATTTATAACTTGTGTTGGGCAAGACCGTGGTCTAGGCAACACGGAGTTTTCCTCCGTGGCATCCCAACAATTACTCCATTCACAC